GTAGGTTAGGCCCCCCCCCTAGCTTAGGTTAGGTTGGGTTAGAGCCCTCATCTTCACCTCCAAAAAAAATCCACAAAAAATGACAAAATTTTTTTTTTCCAAAAATGCCCCATTTTTGACCCTTCCCAAGGGTAGGTTAGGACAGGTGACCTGGGGGAATCAAGATGGCGCTGGGGGACCTGGGGGTATTTATACTACTACCCGAATCGCCTCCTCATTTTTGCCTCCTCTGAGACCATGAAGATGCTGGGGTCGTGTGATATGCTGTTCAGCGACGGCACATTTAAGACTGTGCCTCAGTCATTCGCACAGTTGTTCAGCATCCACGGCCGCTACATGGGCTTCGTCTTCCCCATGGTGTTTGTCCTCACGACCCGCATGACAGAGGACACGTACAGAAGAGTGTACGAGCAGGTGAAGAGCAGGTGTGCCGAGCTTGGCGTCACATTTGGTCGTGACGGCCTGTCGTTCATGATGGACTTTGAGATAGCCAATATTAATGCTGTCCAAGCCCTGTTTCCTCGAGTTAACGTGAAAGGGTGCCTCTTTCATTTTGATCAAATGCTCTGGACAAGAGTGGTGGAGCTGGGCCTCAAGAATGAATACGAGACAGTGGGAAGTGACATCCGCCAAGACGTCGTGACGCTCATGGCCCTTCCCTTCATCCCTCTCGAAGACCTGGAAGAGACCTTCAACGAAGTGACAGAAGAAATGGACCAGCGGCTGGACGACATCGTGACTCACCTTGATGTGCACTACGTCAGAGGTGTGGAGCGACGGCGGAGACGCGTTGCACCACGCTTCGGACCTGCGATCTGGAACACCTACGAAGCTGCACTCGCTGGGGAACAGAGAACCAACAACGCAGTAGAGGGCTGGCACAACCACCTGCAGCGCTTGATGGTTATCCGCCACGCAAGCATCTGGAGGTTCCTGGAGAATTTGAAGAAGGAAGAAAACGAAATTTTCACCCAACTGACCCAGGTCAGAGGAGGCCACACCAAAATCAAGGAGCCGGTCAACAAGAAGTACCTGACGAACCAGCGGCAAGTTGAGCAGATCGTCAGCAACTACCAGCGCTACAAGGACGGCGGCGAAGTCCTGACCTACCTGAGGGCCATCGGGTACCATCTGAAGGCCGGAGCTCCACCCAACGACCAGCAGGAGGGCCAGGATGAGGAGGACCAGGAGTAAGGTGCGTATTTTTCTCATGAGAAACGTCCTAGGGAGAGCGACAATAGGATCATCTGACCTAAGATATTTTCATAACAGCTGTGGCGCGGTGTTGTCGCTGCGGAGTGCTGGTTGCCGGTGCTGCGACGCGGTGCTGCGACGCGGTGCTGCGACGCGGTGCTGCGACGCGGTGCTGCGACGCGGTGCTGCGACGCGGTGCTTGCTGCGACGCGGTGCTGCGACGCGGTGCTGCGACGCGGTGCTGCGACGCGGTGCTGCGACGCGGTGCTGCGACGCGGTGCTGCGACGCGGTGCTGCGACGCGGTGCTGCGACGCGGTGCTGCGACGCGGTGCTGCGACGCGGTGCTGCGACGCGGTGCTGCGACGCGGTGCTGCGACGCGGTGCTGCGACGCGGTGCTGCGACGCGGTGCTGCCGGGTGCTTCGATGCGGAGCTGTCATGAGGTGCTTCGGTGCTTGAATAAATTTGGACATTCTGACTCATGGACTAAATGGTTTCTGGACCTTAATTTGGAGGACATTTTTGTAGATGGACATTTAAACCTTATGGACATTTTTGGGTCGTGGACATTTTGGATCATGGACATTATTTCTCTGGACCTTATATGGTGGAATGCCGTCAACAGTTTTTACCTATCTTGTAACCCAGCGGGTCAGGAGACGAAACACTTCGCTTTGTAAATTCCGTAATCTGTAAATTCCGTCATTATTTCTGTAAATTCCGCCGTATTTCATAAGGGGTGAAATTAAAAGTCAACTTGTAGCGCTGCCACGCTCAGAGGGGTACTGTGGGGTACTATGTATGCCATCTACACCAAATTTAGCCCCTAAAGTTGAACTTTAAAAAAGAACATTTGGTACATCCAAAATGACCCTCTACGCACGGAATCACCCACTTACAATTGCATGCTTGCAAGTACACACTTACAAACGCATGCTTGACGCATGGAGTTATACGGCGCCAAGCATGCGTTTGTAAGTGTGTTCTTGCAAGCATGCATTTGTAAGTGTGTACTTGGCCAAGCATGCGTTTGTAAGTGTGTACTTGCAAGCACGCATTTGTAAGTGTGTACTTGGCCAAGCATGCGTTCGTAAGTGTGTACTTGCAAGCACGCATTTGTAAGTGTGTACTTAGTAGACAGTTAGGTTTGTAGTGCAGTAGCTCAGCACAACAGGTTTTATTCTTTCCCTTTCAGTCAGTTAGGAGGACATAATATCACTCTCATTCCAGGAACGTGACATCACGTGGAAACTGGGCATTGTGTCACATTCATTTGGGTGTGAATTGGCCAAAAATCAGCTTGTTCACATTCAAACGAACGTGACACAATGCTCAAACAAACGTGACATTTTGTCACGTTCGTTTCAACGTGATGTCACGTGCCTGGAATGAGAGTGATGTTTTCAATACAAGCTGCAAAGCGGGAGTTAGGAAATCCACCTACATTTCCGGAACAGCATCTTCTCTCGAGAGCTACCAGTACCAGATAAGATCTTTTTAGCAGGAAACCGTGAGAAACATTGTTCTTCTAGCCACTGAATGACTTGAAAGTCACGCTGATGGTTTTGTGCGCGTGCGCGGTGGTAGTGGGTTAACGAAGAGGACATTCAATTAACACCGCAAAGTATGAATCAGAGTTTGCGGTCGGTTCAAAGCTTTGGAACTCACATAGTGTAGTGAGTCGTAGTAGTTTTGACTGTACACGCAGAACGCGCCGTGCTTCTCATAGTGCACTCCTCCTTTGCCGACGACTGTTGCCTTCGTACCGGAAGAGCTGAGTGGAACAAGCACAATAGATGGATGCATTAATAATTAAAAGGAGTACATACCTCAAACTCCGATAACAAATTTCGACCGATGCCTGCGAGTGCTGAAAACGGAGACCGAGATGCCCTTTCAAGGCAACTCGCAGTTGAGAAAAATTGCTGGCAGCCTAAAAATTAATACCGCTCTTAAATTTAAGGGGGCAATACACTGAAAATGGCCCAAAACTGACTTGTGCGATTGCTTCAATTTTCATGCATGCAATTTCATGCAAAAACAATTTTTGAGGATTTTGCAAAAATGATCAAAACAGGCTTTATCGTAAAATTTTGTACTTTCGATTGCTTGATGTGCATGGTTCTAGTTCATGCGATAGCCGCTTCAATTACCTACATTTAAGCGCAAACGGGTTTGAGATATCTTCATTTTTGCGGACTGAAGAACTTCCGCCAGTTAGATTTTTAACGAAAATTTGATTGGTAACTGCTCCGCTCCCTGGCGTACGATCGACGATATTCTGGGCTTAAAATGCTTCTTTTCGTGGGTCTTGACACATGAAAAGTTTGAACAACGTACAACAACGCGTATGGAAGCAATCGCACAAGTCAGTTTTGGGCCATTTTCAGTGTATTGCCCCCCCTTAACAAACGTGACTGAGACGCTGAAACGCATCTAAATGAGCAGGTGATGAGAACAATAGTTGTGCACATAGCAGTTGCAAGGTATCTTTGGAGAAAAGTTTTAATATGACTTTTTGAACGGTGAAGCACACTGCCTTACACAGCAAATCCGAAGGCGACGGTATCCCTTTTGGCAATGCATTGAAGTAACGCCAACAAATGGCCTTGCCGAAAAATCTTGCCCTCAAAACGCCAATACACTAAAGTATTGTCAAAATTTTGTAAAATCTGGCATCAAACAATGAACTCAAGCCCTTAAGTTATTCGAAGTTCGCAAAATTTTGGCGATACTTGTGTTTATCACCTCTTTGACAGCAAGATTTTCTGCGTGGCCTTCTGTTGGCGATAGTACCCAATTGTATATCAAGAAAAGGTTCTAGAAGTATCACCATAGGATTTGGAGTATAGCACCTTTGGGACCTTTATTGCACGCGTTTAGCGAAGATTCGAAACAACTACAAAATAGTCATTTGGAATTTTGTTCCGGGTTCCAGCCTGCTGAAGTTTTCATCCGTCGTCAATTATCTTAGAACAGACCGATCCTTACTCTGGTAAGTTGTTGGAGGTGAAGAGATGTATCCCTGGTTGATCGGAGTACAATTCCAGGGTGCGGCCTGAACTGGGATGCTCTGCCCTGCAAATTTATTCAAAGTGAATTTTACACCGCGTTGAAATGAGACTTTTACATTTCTTTAATCTCATTACTGCAACGGCATGTGGTTCTTGGATTGCGACGATTCTGATGGGTGTTAGTGAATTCTTGATCGCTGGTAACTTTCATGGAGTATAAACACGTCTCCCTTTTCCCCTCAAATTCATCAAATTTTAAGTACTGGTGCTGCTGAGGAGTTAAGGTTACTGTAAGGTGAAAAAACTATCTTCCAAAGTATAGGTGGCAGTGCTTTGGTTTTTGGTGATTTAGTTGCTTACTATGAAAAACCTTTACAGCCACAGACTGGACTCCCAACTCCCATTAGTTCCAAAGTTATGAGGGTTTTAGTGTCATTTTAGTCGTTTACTAAAAATTCTCCTTGCGATGAACCAAAAAGTTTACGGAGTTGTGATTTTTTGTTTTAAGGCCCAATGGACATGCAAACAGACTAGCAAAGCCGGATTTGACAATATATGCATAGATAAGCTGTAATTTCTGTTTGGAAAATGAGTTTTGAATTTTTTACTTAAATTTGGCAAAATTTTGGTATTTTTTGGTGTTTTTTTGTGTTTTTTGAGAAAAATTCCTGTTTTATGTTGGAATTTTGGAAATCCGGCTTTGCTACCAGATAGGCAAATCAATAAAGAACTTGTAAAACAAAAATCAAGTCTCGACAACTTTTGGTTCATCGCAAGGAGAATTTTTAGTAAACGACTAAATTTGTTACGTAAACTTCAATAACTCAGAAAATAATGGGGGTTGAGTGCCTCAACTTTGGGTTTAAGTTCATCTTATAGTAAGCAACCTGAAACCTAAATACAAACATGATGCCACAATTATTTTGAAAAATGATATTTCACATTTTTTCACTTTACAGTAACCTTAAGGATACTGTGAAGTAAAACTGGCATGTCCTACAAATATTTGTCACAGAAAGTCCATTTTGAGGTCAAAATTCAACAATTACTAGACAAGGTAGGTTTACGCCAGACCGCGTCTTCGTCGTAACAGGCTTCGCGATGTCTCGCTGCCTGTTCCTCCAATCCGCGCCTGGCGTACCTACCTTGGCCTGCGGCGCTAGCCTGCCTTCGGCAGGCAATGCTTGTCCACCGTCGGTTACTTCTAATTTGTTGCATGCTGGGGGTCGCTCCGCCCCCCAGACCCCCCTTCATTCTGCATAGAGTTGCTTCATCTAGAAATTACACGATCTTGACCCTTGTAACATTATAACTTGTCGAGGCTGGGGGGCTCCGCCCCTCAGACCCCCCCAAGGCAGGGGAGATGTGCCTGCAGGAATCTCGATTTTTCGCCGTTTTTTAGTTGTTTTTCGACTATTAAAACTGAAACAGTGGAGCTAGGATAGTGATATTTCGCGTGTGCCGAGCCAAGAACACACCTAATGAGCCTGTAAAGTCTCAGACAGATCGGCCGAGCCGTTCAGGAGGAGTAGTGCACACACACACACACACGCAGACAGACAGACAGACAAAACTTTTCATCCGCACTCGAGTAACAGGCTTCGCTATCGCTCCGCCAATGAATTTGTTCCTAAAGTGGGGGGGGGGGGAACTCCTATCAGATTTTGAGTTGTGGAGGTTTGCGTTACTTTTTAGTCGTATCTCCCAAATTCTCCTCACGACAAAGGATTACCTACCCAGTCTTCAGATTTTGACGATTATATCTATTTTTGCATAGGAAAAAGATAGCGTTGGAAGATTTGAAAATGCCAATCCAGAAGAGGCTATATCTTCATGCCCATTGCCACGTTTTGTGCAAGATTCAATTATATTGACAATTCACTGGTAAAACTAAAGCGTAACTCTATGCTTGAGTCAAGCATAAAGTTACGCTTGAAGACGTTACGCTTGAAATCAAGCATAGACTAGAAATTGCCCCATGCATTTAGATAGGGGGAATCTTGGCGGATGAGCCTGTTACGCTTGATTTCAAGCGTAACCTGATTACGCTTGAAAACAGTGGGTAATGCTACGCTTTAGTTTTACCAGTGAATGCAACATATATGGCGTCAAATATTGCCATACATTTCCCATATATTTTCCTTTACATGAGGCAATTTTCGTCACGTTCGAATTCTCAATGCAGGAAGGGATCGCACGAGATTTCGTGCCTCTAGCAAAATGTTGCGAGACTTTGTGATATTTCATCAAATTTAGACGAGATTTTGCTAGATTGAACCAGATTGCACGAGATTTCTACTGATTTCATGGAAGACTTAGGTCACTTAAGTGTGCCCAGGATTTCGCGAGTGGTCGCCCCCTCAACGTCAGGGATCCTTAACTTACCTCATAGGGGTAGGTTGGGGAAGAAAAGTACAAAACGCGTACTTTGCACTGTACAGCAAATGAGGATTCAACTAATCTGCTCTCGTGAACTTGTAATCCAATGCCTTCCTAATGAAATGGATCACTGTTCATTGATTATAGTTCCCTACATTACGTACAACATGCCAAAATGTATGTGATTTTGGAACTCCTCGAAAAGGGTAAGAAAAGTACACCACCGGGAAAGAATAGTACAACGAAAAGAATTGCGATTTCGAACCAGGAGACCACCAATCTTGGCTCAATACAGGTTTACCCATAAAGTGGAGAGCTTTCACTTGCCATTAGTTCAAGTTTCGTCAAAATCGGTCAATTGTTTCTGATTCTACATGGACTCATCACAGAAGGTCCAAAAAGCCTTTTCTCAGAGATAGGTGGGTAGAGCATTTTTGTGCTTTTCTTCCCCTTTTCACGTAAATGCCCAATAACTTGTTTATTTTTAGTCTAATTCTATAACTTGTGTTGACATTTTTGCTTGTCTCGCCTAATCAAATCTATTCCCGTGATCAATTCAATTTTCATCCCGCTTTTAGTTTCTTAGAGGGTGTATTTTTCTTCCCCAGTGCCTGTACTTTTCTTCCCCAGCCGACTGTACTTTTCTTCCCCATTTCATTTTTACACTTATAAAAAATTGTGTTGAAGCCTAAGAGCATCGAACGGCACTGTTTTTCAAAGATGATGGTCTAAGCCATAAGGTGGTACCTTACACGAGGGGGTAAACACTTCAAGAAATCGTGTACAGACTACTCGGTATTACGCTGTATTACGGTGTATTACACGTGTATTACGGCCTTAAAATGCCAAAATTTGGCACATTTGACCCAAAAAATGGTATTACGATCACGTGTATTACGCGTAATACACGGTTTTGGTGTACAGGGTATTACGCGAGTGGTTACCCCCTCGACCTTACATTGGACTGTCGGCTGATTCCGCAGGAAGCTGTACTTCAAAGTACAAACATTTAAAAAAAAGATTTTCATAGTTATTTTTAATGTTTTTTTCAAACGTGCAGTTTGATTCTAAATATTCTATGTAGGACTGGGCTTAATTTATTTTTTGTCAGCGGGATGACCAATCTTTCTAAAACCACTAACGTGATGGTTTAGTGTAGTTTCAGTTCGGAGATATAACGGGTGTACTTTTCTTACCCAACCTACCCCTAAGGGCATCATAACGTTATGGTAAGAGTCAAAGTTATTACCCCTAACTTCTAACATCTTTTCAAAAGGGTAGGTTATATTTTTATGTCTCAAATTTGTGTGGATATACTTTTGCTAGTACTTTCATAAGTCCGTACCCTTAACCTTTAGCGGACATTGTCTTATGTTACGTTATGAAAGCAGTGTTAGTTAAATGTTATGTTAAGGATCCCTGCTCAACGTGTGCCAGTAATGGTTCAACTTTTTCTAAACTCCATTCAAATCATTAAATGTACGATATCTTACTCAGCTACGCGAACCATCTGATTCGGTGTGGTGTGGCATTTTGAGACGAGAAGATCAGTGTCGTAGTCCACCTTCGCCAACACATCTTTTAAAAGACGAGGTGTGCAGAAGTCGTACGGGGCACTGTGGCAAAAAAGGACGGAAAATTCTGTTAATTTTTTTCCAAGGTTCCCAAAACCCCCTTAAAACCCTGGCCAAGTATTTGAGGGGGAAAATATTCCTAAAATCTTTGTTTTAAAAAGAAATGTTGTTTACGGAAAATTTTTTTGTAAGGCCTTTCGGAAAATACTTTGGGGGTTTTCAAATACCTTTTTAAGGCCCAAAATATTTTTAAGGGGTTTCCCAAATGAAGAATTTTTGGCTTTTTAAAGGGCCCCTCCCTTGGATATTCCGCCCAGGAAAAGTTTTGGGGGATTTCCTGTTTCCCCATCTTTGACGAAATTTTATGGCATCTATAAAAAAAAATTCCTTTTTTATTCCAAGGAAAAAGTTGAAATTGAAGTTTTTTTTAAAGTTACAAAAGCCAAATCCCTTTTTTTGTCAAAATTCTTTTTTTTGTGGAAAAAGTTTGTAAGGGTTTTTTCATTCAAGAATGGTTGGACCCCTAATGTTTTAAAGGGCGTGACTTTTGTCGGCCCCTTTTTTCAACTTTTTTTTCAGTTCCCAAAAAGGTATTTCCCCCGGAAAGGGGGGGGGGGGGGAAAATTTCCCCCTGACCCTTAGATAGGCGCTTGAAAGGTAGGAAAAAAGCACCACTTTACCCCTGTAAGTAGGCAAAAAGTGCTATTTTGACCCACCCTTGGGCCGACTCAAGATCCGCCACTGGAGTAGTGTCCATGATCGTGAAACTTTCAGTTGCAAGTTTTCAACTGTGCGGAGAAGATGATTCTTACCAACATGATTGTCGTATATATCCAGAGGCTGGTAAAGATCAGCGTTGAGCTTCAGACGCGTGGCGTACACTCCCTCTGCACCAGCATCCTGTTACGCAATGCACCTTAGCAACTTAAGAAAACAAGAACTGGGTCCCACACTTCTCGTGTTCTAGAAAGTGTTTCGATGAAGGCGACAAAATGTCAAGGTCCTTTGACCATCATGTCACATTCGTTTCAACGTGGATAGACTAATGGCTTATTTTCATTCTAACGAATGTGACATAATGCTCAAAAGAACGTGACATTTTGTCACATTCATTTCAACGTGGTGTCACGTTCCTGAAATTTTGAGAGAGATGACAGAAAATTTCCTAAACCATTGAATCAGCACGTACACTGAGACTAGGTGGTGCCCAGAAACTGACCGACTAAGTCGGCCGCCCCAGTTTTTAGGGCGACTTGAGTCGCCTAGTTTTAGGGCATCTCGGTCATGTAAATACTAAGCGTACTTATCTATGCTGGCCTAAGGCATTGCACACAAGTTTGCATGCACGTGGATAAACTCAATGGATTTCACATTCGGGTGGCGTCAGAGGTGCCCTGAATCTAGGCGCAAAGGGTGCCCCGAATCTGGGCAGCACGGACCAACCCCAAAGGTGCTCAAAATGTGGGCGCCTGGGGTCAGCATAGATCAGTGCTCAGTATTTACACGCCCTATAGGGCGACTTAGTCGGTCAGTTTCTGGGCACCACCTTGTCTCAGTGTATGCAAAAAGAAAAACTTCACCTGCACCTGAAATCAATTTTCTTTTTACTAAAATAAATGTTTGTGGAGAGTTTTGGAGCGCCTCTACTCACGTGTCCTGCGAGATTCATGTACCAATGACTAAAGACATTGATGGGCGTAGCCTTGGTCGTCTCGGCGCGCATGGCCACTTGGAGGCTGCTGTCCTCCGTGAGGCGGTAGGTGACCTGCGCCTGCACTGCACCGGGAAAATGCTCATCGCCGTCCGGCGAAAGCAGACTGAATGTGACGCCGTCTGCGCGCGTGGAGGCTTTCCACACGGCCTGCACGGAACGTAAATTTCCAGTTAAGGATACTGTCAAGTGAAACTAGCATGTCCTAGAAATATTTTTCACAGAAAATTCAATTTGTGGTCAAAATTCGACCACTATTAGATGAATCTGTTCCCAAAGTTCGGGGCCCCAACTCCCCCCATCTGAAGACTGGGTAGCTTATCCTTGGTCGTGAGAAGAGTCTGGGAGCAACGACTAGGCTTACGTAAAACTCCATAACTCAAAAACTAATAGGAGTTGGGGCCCTAGTCAAGTGTTCGAGTTTATGCAAAAAAAATGCTACTTTTACCCATAAATTGAGACATTTGACACAAGTGTTAAAAATATCTAAGGGCCACTTTTTTCACTTCACAATAACTTTAGGGGAGTAAAATTGGGCCAGAAGACCGGTGGAGGCGGTCAAAATCTCTGACGTGTTTGGAGCCCCAGAGTCCCTAAATGGGATACGAATCGAACGTGTGACCGCGCCAAAGGATTGCTCTCCGAACGAGGAATCCTTTGGTGGGGGTCATGCGCTCGGTTCGAGTCCGGCGACTCTGGAGCTCAAAACCTGTCAAGAACTTTTGCCGCTACCACCGACTTTCTGGCCTGCTGTGGAGTGGAGTGCCGTCGCGTTCGCAACTCTGCTCGGAGCGAGGCCAGCATGTCTGCCAACCTGGTCCCATCCCTTGATGCCGCCTTTGATGGTGTAGTGTGAGCGCGATCCAGAGGGGTTCAGCTTGTACACTTGCCCGTCCAAGGTGAATGAAGAGTTGGCGATGCGGTTGGCCACCCGACCTATGATCGCACCGAATCGCCGTTTCTTGTCGACGTACTCTGAGCACAGGGCATACCGCATGAAGGTTTGTTAGTAACGAGCACTCCACAAGTCGAAAAGCGTACATAGTATGCTCTACCTGGAGCATGCCTGATAGCACACTCTAGCTAGCGCATGCCTGCCAAAGCATGCACTAACTAATGCATACAGTCCATTGTACACGCTAACTGAAGATGCATGAAGCGCATAGGGGATAGGGAGTTTTCTGCATTAGGAAGCGTGTACATGGCATGTTTGTACTAGTCAGTGCATGCTTTGGCATTGCACATGTGTAGATGTAGCTGTGGATTTAACTGTGGACTAAAAAGCTTGGACTACAGAGTTAGGACTAAAAACCTTGGACTATTGAGTTTGGCCTATTGGGCTCGCTTTCTGTAACTTGGCATATATGACTGAGACTATGTATACGCATATGAATGTATACGCATATGAATATAGGATTAATAATAATAGGAGGATACCTCTAGTAAACTTCAGGTAGGAGAGTGGGGGGGGGGGTCATTTCGAACGTTCAAATCCCCGGGTGCTTCGCTTCAATCAGCAATAATGCACGCTTTACGATCTGCACAGCAGGAAAACAATGTGTCCGCGATCACCCTTGAAAGAGCGTGCCTAATTACGTAGCGAGAATTCAATTTCACACTCCTTTTCCTAGGCCAAACGTTTTGTATGGCACGAGGGGGTATGCACTCGCGTAATAGTCGGTTCACTCTATCTGTAATAGCACGCGTAATAATACGCGTAATAGTCGCGTAATAGCCGAAATTGTCAAAATTTTATCAATTTTGGTGTGTTTTAGGCCGTTTTTAGCTAAATTCCGATTAATTTGTGGCGTAATAGCGTAATAGTCGGTACACAGGTTCAGAGAGCGCATACCCCCTCGGTATGGCAGCACTGGCAGTACTGCGACGACCATTGAAGGCTATTTTAACCCCATTTTAACACATCGGCCATCAGGGCCGACCAAAATAGTGGTCGGCAAAGATGTGCATGTTCACCAAACTTGACTGCAGACGATAAAGTGATATTAACACGGCTACGTCGCACTTACACTGTTAAAAACTAGGGGTACGCGCCGTTTAGTTTGAGCGCGTAGTAGGCGAGCGATGCGTCTGAACACATTCTTATAGGAGATGGCAAAGAGTGAAGAATAAGGCCAATACAGTGTCTTCCGTAACGAAAGGGCCGGAATTAATGTCATTTTCGTGATTATCTTACTGAAAACTGCAGGAAACTATGTAAAACTCAACTTCAAAATTTTGGTCCGAAATTGGTAAATATTTGGAAAAGTAAAGGTCTGGGATGAAATTGGAAGTCATTTTCGTGATCAGCACACCAAACACTGCAGGAAACTGTGAAAAACTCGACTATAGAATTTTGGTCCGAAAATGGTAAAATTTGGAAAAGTAAAGGTCGGGGATGAAATTGGAAGTCATTTTCGTGATCGGTGCACCAAAAACTGCAGGAAACTATGTATAACTCGATTTAAAAAATTTTTGGTCCGAAATTGGAAAATTTTTGGGAAAAGTAAAGGTCTGGGATGAAATTGTAAGTCATTTTCGTGATCAGCACACCAAAAACTGCAGGAAACTATGTAAAACTCGACTTAAAAATTTTTGATCCGAAATTGGTAAATTTTGGGAAAAGTAAAGGTCTGGGATGAAATTGGAAGTCATTTTCGTGATCAGCACACCAAATACTGCAGGAAACAATGACTCACTGAGAAAATTCTGGTCCAAAATCATGTAATTCTAGTTGAAAGTATGGGCCTGCAGTTGTTAACATGAACGCAATTTCTAAGTGTTTTTCCCTGTTCATGGTGTCGTAACATGAACCCTGACACTGTTACTCAGTCGAGTAACATTCAACAGTCAGCATTGAATTGCTTAGTACGATTCACAAATGCTTCAATTACCATTTGATATCTCCTTGTTATTGAACTTATGAATACGCAATGTTCTTTGTAATACCTATAAAGCCTTTTATCTACCTTTTATTTTAAACTAGTGGATGAAACTAGATTTATCTCAATTAATTAAAATGAGACACATTTACAGGCAGGCTGATTGCAACTACTTTACGGAGAAGACCTTCTGCTAGATCCAATGAATCGTTTCATAGAATCCAATGTCGAGCCCACTTATTGCTAAACGCAAGTTAATCTTATTCATAATGATAATTCATGATGTGATATTTAATTTTTGAAACAGTATAGCATAAGTATTTACCTAACATTCTGAGTAAATTAAAAACTCAAACCATGACCGACACAAATTACCAGTTGTCACAGGCAATATATGATGAAGTTAAAAGAATCGTCTCATGAAATCATATGACCAAGTCACTGAATCGTCTCATTGAATCAGATGTCAATGTCAATCCTTTTATGCGCTACACTCACTCACCATATAGTTATCTTTAAGGTTAGTACTATAGTAAACTCACAGCATTGCAATGAAGCCTTTTCCCAGAGTCAGTGCCAAGAGTCAGCAAAGACTTTTTATTTTGGCAAGATTAGTGTCTGGTTTGTACTTTTGGATTGTATCAATCTATTTTCTAACTGTTATTGAGCAAAGCAAACAACTAAAAAGAATAATGTCTGAGAATAAAAATGGAAATACACTCTCAAAGCTTACAAACACCAAATCATTCTTGCAATTATCAAACACACACACACTCCACTGACTAAAACATTTCCCCTGTAGCAGGGGAGGGGGCGGACAGACGAAACGCGTAATAATTGTCACTTTCATTTTCCGTATTTCACTGCGTTGACACTCCGGAGGGGTTTCAATCATTCTAGAATGTTGAAAAACTAAGGTCGATCTCATTTCCAAACCGTTCTGCTATTTATTTTGTTTTATTTGTTGATTTGCTTGTGTCCCGTATTTGAGAGCCGCGGCCGCAGGGATGAGAAATTGGTAACTAACTGCTGCCAACCTAACCATGCTAATAAACTGATTCAAAAAGATGTTTTGAATATTTCAAACGATACTAAACAACGATTTGAAACAAACTCGTGTTGGGCGGAAGTAAGACGACGCTAAATGCGAAGTAAGGAAACTATACCTGTTGTAGTCGCTAAGAAACGTGAGCGTGTACGAACAGAGGGACAGACAGACTCACGACCAGTCACTTTTTGGAGCGCCCAAACACGGCAAGGGCTCGCTATCGCTCGCCAACAAGGGCTCGCTATCGCTCGCCAATAATTGGCTGAGCGATAGCGAAGCCTGTTACTCCAGTGGGGTTGAAAAATTTTTCCTGTCTGTCTGTGTGTGTACACTACTCCTCCTGAACGGCTCGGCCGATCTAGCTGAGATTTTGCAGGCTTATTATGTATGGCCTTGGCTTGGCACACGCAAAATTTCACCATCGTAGCTCAACTGGTTTGGTTTTTATAGCCGAAAAACACTTAAAAAACGGCGAAAAATCGAGTTTTTCTGTGCAGATCGCCTTTGTCTTGAAGAAAGAGGGGTCTGGGAGGCGGAGCCCCCCAACCAGGACAAGTGAAAAAGCTACAAGGGTCAAGATCGCGTTATCTGCAGATGAAGCAACTCTATCTAGAATGAAGGGCGGGGGTCAGGGGGGCAGAGCCCCCTTGCACGCAACACGTTAGGAAAATCGACGATGGAGAAGCCATTGCCTGCCGAAGGCAGGCTAGCGCCGCAGGCCAAGGTACACCGGTAAAACTGAAGCGTAGTTGTATGCTTGATTCAAGCATACAACTCCGCTTGAAGACTTTACGCTTGACGTCAAGCGTAGAGAAGAAATTCTCCCATGCATTTAGATAGGCGGGAGAGGGGCAAAATGGAGAACTATGCTTGAAGCCGAGCGTTGTTCTACTACGCTTGAAGAAAGGCGTAAAACTACGCTTGAGTTCTACCAGTGTAGGTACGCCAGGCGCGGATTGGAGAAACAGGCAGCGAGACATCGCGAAGCCTGTTACGACAAGACGCGGTCTGGCGTTAACCTCCCTTGTCGTAAATTTACGACATTTTGTAGAACAATTATGTCGTTTTTAAACGACATATTTTGTTACGACTCAAGTCGTAAATTTACGACATATCTGTCGCTAATTTTGATAGCGAGACGTTCCGTTTTGAAACGAATTAAGTCCTAAGTTTACGACTTAATCGTAAGTTTACGAACGATCGTAATTGATTTATGGAATATGTCGTGCAGTTATGACTTCAGTCGTACATTAACGACTCTTGTCGTAAATTTGTGACATGAATCTCAAATAAACGACACAAATCGTAAAAAAACGAGCAAAATTGCAACTTTTGACCAACTTTTCGGGGATTTCAGATTCCAAAATATTTAATCGCGATTACGACACTGTCGTAGAAAAACGATTTTTTAGTCGTTCAGTTACGACGAAGTAGTTTGAGAACGATTTCCGTCGCTATCAAAATTAGCGACATTTTCGTCGCTAATTTACGACAAAATTTCTGACAGTGTAGCCCACAGTTTTGATAAAGAAATGCAACGATAATGCAAAGGTTCATTAAACGGCGAAAGGGAGACCTGCCTTTGAGCGTGTCGTGGCCCAGCAGCACGTCCTTCGAGCGGCCCTGCTTGTCAGGGACCGTGATGGACGTCAAGTACGCCCCGTAGTTCATGACCTGCCGAAAGAAAGCAAAGGATGCACTCTGAAAGCATTTAAAACTATTTAAGGACATGCGAAGAAAAAATCTTGCTAAGGAAGTATTAAGAGCGTACGCACTGAGAATCCAAATTACGCCCATTGGTGCAATGCTTTTGCATTGCACATGAAGTGTAATGCCTTTTCGGGATGGATTGCACGTTAGGTTTAATATAGTGTGGCGATATCTCACCCAAGTAGAAGGAACTGAAGTTATATCTGGGAAGTGCAATTTAACTATATTTGTTAGACTGTCCGCTGCATACTTTCTGTTTACATTAAAAAAAAAACAACCTTAAAGCGGACCCAAACACATGATCATTAACAAATCGTTCTATAGTTTAATCACAACGGGAATCAGACTTACAGACTGCAGGTCTACCATAAGTATAAATTGAATGAATTGTAAATTGAGTGTAAATAGAATGATGTCTAGACAAAAAGCTGATAAAACTACAGATAAAGCGTTGATATACTTGAGTCAATAGTAGTAATTTAACACTTTTTGGAAGTATTGTTTACCTAAGCAATTGAGAGTGCAACATAGCTAAAGATCAAGCTGAGGTTTTGACACTATTAAAGAACTGAACTCTTGGCTGCGAAAAAACTGCAGTCAGACTACTATTCCGAGTACCACCTGAACAGTGCACAAACTTGTAAATAATTAGAGTTTTTTTCACACTTTGACTGTAGGGTCAGGGCGGGGAAAAACTGGACAGGGGAAGAACTGGACACCCTACATTTTACTTCAAATGCCGTATGTACTGGCCTGACAACTGTCGTGTAATGAACCGCTGCACTGTGGGAAAAAATCACAGTAAATCCTGTAGTGATTAGTACAGCTGTCACTGTAGTTCAGAGTACAGGATTTACTATACTTTTTTACAGGATCTACTGTACTTTGTACGGGATTCACTGTACCACAGGAGTGGAGTACGGAATATCCTGTACCAGGTACAGTAAACACTGTAGCCAGGCACAGTAAATCATGTGTTCTGAACTACAATAAATCCCGGCAAAAAAATTAACGGGATTTACTGTGGTTTTTTCGTACAGTGTGATGCCACGGAACAACTTTTGATATTGTTATTCCTGTGCCTACGGTATTTGAAGTAAAATATGGGGTGTCCAGTTCTTCCCCTGTCCAGCTCTTCCCCGCCCTGACCCTACTGAAGTTTATGCACTGCAGTTTTTCACTCGGTACTGTCAGTCGGTACTGAGTTAAAACTAGACTTCCTTCCACCCGGGCTGTGCATTGCACCAAACGTGCTATACGCTGTTGTCCCTGGGTGTTCCATAACTAAGCGCGTTAACAGGAGTCTCCAGGTCGGCCGCCGGCCGTGCCTCCGCGCGGGGAGCCGATGCAGACCGAAATGAAAATCGCGATTTCTCGCAAACGGCTGGCCCAAAAAATTTCAAACTTGGTAGAGAGACTGGCAATAGACCAGGCCCGCCTCCGGTCCGGTCAAATCCGGTCCGACATTGCCTGTTTGCCTACTGGCGTGATCGGCTCGAAAAACGGAGACCGCCGTATCTCGGCTGCTGGGCACGATATCAAAAATCGGGCTTCTCGGCGTTGTAGTCCAACTTGTTCCCTGCCGCCTCTCCAAATTTCAAGTCAAAATCTTGAACGGTGTGGCCGTAATTTGGGAAACGCCGGGACGAAAAACGCGACTTTTCGGCGACTGGCGTGGCGAAGGCAGGCTGGAGGCAGGCAAACAGGCCTGATCAAGGGACCGGCCCCCGAAGTGCCCCCGCCACACCTCCCCCGCCCCCGCCCGGATAATATTATACGACCCAGCACTGGTGCGAATAACAGCCCAGCCGTTATACACCCCAGAAGAACTGGTGCGGATAAAGACCCAAACCGTTATACACACCAGTGATCCCCCTGGAGGGATCTGCTGGGTCGCATAACCTATTGAATTCTTGGGTGCACCAGCTGGGGCGGATAAAGCCTTATTTGTTATACGCCCCAGCTGGGGCGCACAATACTTGTAATTGTTATGTGCACCAGTTTTTAGAGTCTTTTAACTGAAAAATGCGCAGATTTCACAGATTTCATTTTAAGTTTTTTTTTTTCCTTTCCAAGTCCTAACTGATTTGGCATTTCCACAAATGTCCATTGGTACTGGAGACTTGGTGCAAATACTGTACACCCATACACACACAAATACGCCACAGTCTTAGTCTTGCTGCTGACTTGAAAAAGAGCAGTTAGGACTGAACAGTCTCAATGCGCGGGAAAACAAACGATGCGAATCTGTTAATGCGGCCAGAACCAGTGACCACTAAAATTTTAAACTATCAAAGTCTGCCAGGGAAAATCAGGATGAAGGAGGCAAAACAAGAAGGGGACAGCAAGGAATCACCACAATGTATTATGTTATCTCTTTTCTTTCTTGTAGATAATGAAATCTGCGCATTTTTCAGTTAAAAGACTCTAAAAACTGGTGCACATAACAATTACAAGTATTGTGCGCCCCAGCTGGGGCGTATAACAAATAAGGCTTTATCCGCCCCAGCTGGTGCACCCAAGTATTCAATAGGTTATGCGACCCAGCAGATCCTTCCAGGGGGATCACCGGTGTGTATAACGGTTTGGGTCTTTATCCGCACCAGTTCTTCTGGGGTGTATAACGGCTGGGCTGTTATTCGCACCAGTGCTGGGTCGTATAATATTATCCGGGCGGGGCGGGGGAGGTGTGGCGGGGGCACTTCGGGGGCCGGTCCCTTGATCAGGCCTGTTTGCCTGCCTCCAGCCTGCCTTCGCCACGCCAGTCGCCGAAAAGTCGCGTTTTTCGTCTCGGCGTTTCCCAAATTACGGCCACACCGTTCAAGATTTTGACTTGAAATTTGGAGAGGCGGCAGGGAACAAGTTGGACTACAACGCCGAGAAGCCCGATTTTTGATATCGTGCCCAGCAGCCGAGATACGGCGGTCTCCGTTTTTCGAGCCGATCACGCCAGTAGGCAAACAGGCAATGTCGGACCGGATTTGACCGGACCGGAGGCGGGCCTGGTCTATTGCCAGTCTCTCTACCAAGTTTGAAATTTTTTGGGCCAGCCGTTTGCGAGAAATCGCGATTTTCATTTCGGTCTGCATCGGCTCCCCGCGCGGAGGCACGGCCGGCGGCCGACCTGGAGACTCCTGTTAAGGCCGTCGGAGCAGCCGTCTATACTGAAGATGGCCGCTCCGAAACAACATATTCAGTGGCGTCCGCAGAGGCCCCCGCAGACCGAGCGTTTTTCCACTTTTGTCGATCGAAACGTTATAGTGCGGAAAAGTTGCCTTTCGCAAGTACAAATTCAGATCAAAAAAGTTTTTTTTCAAATAAGTTAATATCTTCCGATCCCACAAAGCGTGCAAAGTTTCGAAACTTTGAATAAATTTTGTGCTTTTTCGAGATTTTTCAAGTATCACCAATTGGTTTCGTTCTTTTTTCTTTTACCTCATAACGCGTTTCTAAGACGATAAAAAATATATTCAGAAGCCCACGTGACCCTAATGGATCGATGGGAGAGGGGAGAATGGAACTCAAACTGGTCCATTTAACTAGATTCGATCCCAGTCCAAAAAAACGTGCGTTAACATAGAGTGGATGATGAAAATGGCATGGAACGGGCTAAGGGCGACCCAAATAACACATTTGAAGGCGAGGAGTACCTGAAATGACATGTCCTTATTTTTTATCGTATAACGGAACACTGTCTGTCCGGACACATTTCCAAAGCGCTCGCTTGAGACTTGCACTCCAGGCGTTGCTGGTCCAGTGGCGTCTGGTACAGTTCCCTTGAGAGCCGGTCCGCAGCAGTCCAGCGGTTTGACCACCTGAAAACGATCCATGAGGGTCAGTTATATAATCGCTTCATGCTGCATTCCTTTTTTGGAAAACATCATTCCTCCATTGTGTATAAAGAGCCTTAAGCACCTGTACTGGTGCACATGCAGGGTGGGTCCTATATATAGTCCCATGTCCCATAACAGCTCTAAAGCACCTGAATTCTTGTTCTAGATTTTGCCACTTCAATTTTTTTGTCCCACTAACTTTAATAGATCCTCGGGAATGTAGGAAATTACCTTCCGCCCCAAGTTACCTTCGTTCATGACAACACTCTCATTCCAGTAACGTGACACCACGCGTTGAAACGAACGTGACACTTTGTGACGTTCGTTTGAGCATTGTGTCACATTCGTTTGGATGTGAATCGGCTTAACACTACCTTGTTCACATTCAAATGAATGTGACACAATGCTGAAATGAACGTGACATTTGGTCACGCTCGTTTCATAGTATGACGTACTAGATGAGAGTGCAGGTTGGAAGATCCTTGCGCTTTTAAAATAGTGATTCTTTAGTCTTCACGAAGTTCAACTTCTCTTTTATATTCAGTCAATTCATCACAACTTGAGACAATTTAGATACGACCAATTTAAACATGCCAGTTCTGTTACTTCTCTCAATTCCTCTTAAACCAGGCTCGGAGCAATAATACGAAATTCCCGACTTAAACTTACATTGAGGACGGAAACGAAAATTACAGCGTGCAGCCACATGTTCGGTCTTTTTCTGCGCCCAAGCCGAACTCGTGTGAAACTCATAAAAAGGAATAACTAACATTTGGCCAACATAACGGGAAGAAAGCCCTAATGAAACCAGCCCTCTCGCAACTTACGATAAATTCCCCACAAACTGTGATCTGAGGTCGCTTCCCTTCACTGACGTCAGTCTTTAGTTTTCTCTTCTGTTTTCATGTTAATAGTGTGACTCTGGTGCCTTTGAACTGTTACAGAAAGCTCAATTGCGTATAGGTGTGTTGGTAGCCATGAGTCACGAGAATCGTGCAGTAGGTGATGCCACCGTACTCTATCCCACAACTACCCCACCAGTCCCCTCAACCCGCACGAGGTGTTCAATGTCTTGGTGGCCAGCGGCAGCCGACTGCAGGCAGCGTGAGGTGGTCAGTGGGGGGGGATACGATGGGCTCGCCTTTGCTCTGACGGCAGTCACGATAGACAGGCGTGGGCCAGGTTTTACTGCTGATGATGCCAGTATTGCAAATACCAAAAAAATAACCTCCTTTGAAAGCTATTGACACCACAGCGGGGTCTGGCTCTGCCATTCAGAGTGAGATCCCGCATGATGCCCCGCGCCATTGCCTACAGGACAGACTGGCCCAGTTATGAGAGTGCTTAGTTGATGGTACTTGTTAATAAGCACAGAACCATTATCAATAATCATCGACATAAGGATTTCTCCAAGACATGGGGCATCATTCAGGCGGAGATGACTGAGAAGAATCTCTTCTACGAGGAAGATGTCCTCAGGAAACGGTTAAAGGGAATGAATAAATATTACCCGGACAGACGACAGTGGCGCCATCTCTCGGGAGTATCAACAAACAACCGGTCAACATGATCTTCCCTAAACATTCCCCCGATTTGACACCACGAGGCGGCGAACAATGGAGCTACAACAGTGTCAGAGTGCAAAAGATTTGTACAAATTTTTCTCACAAGATGAGAAGAAAATTGTTGAAGCCCTTCAAAGAGAGGGGTTCCTCCTGCCTTTGCGAAGGTGCAAGAAAAAAACTTGCAAAACTATGCAGGTCTTGTATCGTAATAAAGATCACAAGGGCCACTATGCAGCCTATTGCAAGAACTGTCGAAAGTTCTCCTCGCTGACTGATGGCACGTTTTTTGAAGGAACAAAACTTAGCTTCGAGGACATATTTATCAGCATGTGGTTTTGGGTGTGCCACGTATCGTCTTATGATACTGCCAATGTTACTCAGATTATCAGAGCAGGTGTGGTTCAGTACCACAGATATTTTAGGTAATATATCTACATACTTGAATGAATCACCCTTCTACCTGTTGAATTTTGAATTGGTTTTATTCCTTGTTTCATTTATTTACAGAGATATAGCTTCCTGGAAGATTCTATCGATGCCAAGACTGCAACTAGGGGGGGGGGAGGGTGCATTGTTCAAATAGATGAATCTGTAATAACAAAACGAAAGTATAACCGAGGTAGGGGGGTAGGAAAAACAATATAAGAAAAATCACTACAAATCCAAAGGTCAGACTTTACGCCTCTGGAGAGGCGAGACAAAAAGTCTCGCCACATTTTGGCGATACTTTCATGTCTCGCCACAATATGGTCAGATTCAAATGTCTCGCCAATTTATGGCGAGACTTTTTTGTCTCGCCAAAATATGACCCAAAATTATTGAATAGGGTAGGCAATGCATGGATTCATGGCAAAATAGATAAACTACTGCATTATTCACAAAATTCATAAGAAAACATTTCTGATCACCACTCATAGTTGTTTGACCCACTGGGGACTCTCAAGAGTAACGCTGTTTGTTTCGCTCATAAACCAAGAGGTGCGTCTTCACATAACAGGGCCGCTCACATTCAGTTTCATTGAAATCAGATTGTACTCACAATAATCACAGTAGCACTGTGGCTATGAAGAAATTTGCAGGCAGGTTGAGAGTTGATTCATCCAATAAAGATTGTGTACAAACATGTAGCTGTGAGTACTGTACAACTTGGTCCAGAGCACAGATGGTGTAGACTGTTGATGAACTAAACATTTTGACAATTATCCTTTTCCACACGCAGTTTGACAATAGCTCGAACGATAAAAAGACATCTTCGCGAACAGATAACCCAGTTGGCAACAGTCGTCATCGCTCCAAACTAGAAAAAACTTAATTTTATTGATGCAAAGTCGGGAGGAAAACATGATAACCAGCGGCCATTTCCTCAGGTTACTTTTGTTTACGAGATGTGAGGATGTGACTGCGAATACTGGTTTGGTCATGCGTATAATTTCCCAACCCGAATCTGAATCTAAATCGTCACGCCCATAACTGCCCATAACCTCTTCTGTCCAAAAACAAAAACATAGCCTCTAAAATGGCTGCCAGCCTCTGAGCGATTGTTTGACTTGCAACGATATAATTTAGTTTTTCCTAGTTTCGAGCAATGACGACTGTTGCCAACTGGGTTATCTGTTTGCGAAGATGTCTTTTAATCGTTCGAGCTATTGTCAAACTGCGTGTGAAAAAGGAGAACTGTCAAAATGTTAAGTTCATCAACAGTCTGCACCATCTGTTCTCTGGGCTAAGTTGTACAGTACTCAAAGCTACATGTTTGTAGACAATCTTTATTGGATGAATCAACTCTCAACCTGCCTGCAAATTTCTTCATAGCCACAGTGCTACTGTGATTATTGTGAGTACAATCTGATTTCAATGAAACTGAATGTGAGCGGCCCTGTTATGTGAAGACGCACCTCTTGGTTTATGAGCGAAACAAACAGCGTTACTCTTGAGAGTCCCCAGTGGGTCAAACAACTATCAGTGGTGATCAGAAATGATTTCTCGTGAATTTTGTGAATAATGCAGTAGTTTATGTATTTTGCTATGAATCCATGCATTGCCTACCCTATTTAAATAATTTTGGGCCATATTTTGGCGAGACAAAAAAGTCTCGCCATAAATTGGCGAGACATTTGAATCTGACCATATTGTGGCGAGACATGAAAGTATCGCCAAAATGTGGCGAGACTTTTTGTCTCGCCACATTTTGGCGTAATGTCTTTCCATTCAGTTTGCAGTGATGGGTTTTGGGAATTTATAATGTCAACACTAAGACTGGGATAGTATTATATGTAGTTAAGAGGGACAAAGCAACTTTAATTCCGCTCATCAGGGAGTATGTTGCTGAAGGCTCGCTTTATAAGGGATTAAACAGGTGGTACACCCACAGAACAGTGAACCACTCCAAAGAATTTAAGAGTGCTGACGGCACATGTACTAATGGGGTTGAGGGATACTGGTCACGTCTTAAACAGTTCTGTAGGCATAAGGGAGAGTGGGGTAATTCCGGACACGGGGTAATTCCGGACACTTCGATTTTCACTGGGTTTGAGTGAAGATAACTCAAAAGCCCGCCTAACAGAGGAAGATAATCAGTTAAAAATGATAATTCCAAATCGCCAAGGTAGGAGGTCAAACCGTTTGGCTGTGGTCGCTTCACGAATTTTGAGAAACCATCAAAAATAGGCAAAAGCTGCATCTTTCCCCCGTATTTCCATGTACTTATCGTACCTTACCATCAGGTTCAGTCCCATGACTAAAATTCTATCATATTATATGGTCATTGGACTTTACTTTGGCGTTTCGGGAGTGTTCGTATGGCTCGCCGCGAGGGGCAAACAACTTGAATTTAGGTGTACATTTTCCGTGAAATAACGTGAAATAACGCCAAAATAAGCGTGAAATAGCGTGAAATAAGGGTGAAATAGCGCGAAATAACGTGAAATAACGCGAAATAACGTTGAAATACCCTTGAAATAACGTTGGAATAACAATGAAATAACGTGAAATAACGTGAATTTGAAATAACGGTGTACAAATTTTGACGAAGTTGTTTGCCCCTCGGCTCGCCGTTTTCTTACAATGTAACATCAAAGGTTTTCACTACCTGTGGGGTAAATCCGGACAAGAAGTACTTCCTGCGCGCGCGCAGGAACTTGAAGTGGTTGACCTGAACAAGGAATCGATGTGGATGCCGGATAAGGAAAAAGAAAAAAAGGAGGATATGCTGCGCCGCCTGAAAATAATTATTTTCTTCAATTTCCCGCATTATATTAAGGTAGTGGGTTCAAAATTGTGGACATGAATCCCCACCGTTAGGAAGGATAAAGAAAGAAAGAAAAATAGCATTTGTAGCTATGTTTAAGAGCTTTACTCAAGACAGTGTTGTCAGGGTTTTGATAAAAACTATTCCTTATAATATGCTTTGAGTAATAATCAAACACTTCAGTTCGCAGCAAATGTCCTTGTACGCCTTCTAAAAGCATGCCTGACATCAAAACAAGCGAAAGTAAGCTCGAGTAGTGTCAAATTTTAAGGTCGTTCCGGAATTGCCCCATAGGTCGTCCGGAATTACCCCAGGCTGGGGTAATTCCGGACACGTGCAGGGCTTTTGTTAGGCGCCTATATCTCCCTAACCGTTGCTGAGATTTGGCTTTCATGTATATCATTGTGAAGGTAAAGGTCCATACTTTACTCTCCTGTAATAACATTTGACCCAAGAAGCATATTCAAGCTCAAAGACCGAAAAGAAAAAAAGCGTCCGGAATTACCCCACTCTCCCTTACTAATGTTCTGCGAAGCCAACTGCTTGCAGAACATATTGACGAGTTCATGTATCGTCAATATTTTCAGGGTAGCCCTCACTTCCGCTTCAAATCCTTCCTGGAGCACTTGAAGGAACGATACCCGGTACTTAAATAAATTTTTGGGCTTTAGGTTAGGGAGGAGGGAAATTATCTGGAGGTTGTAAAAGTTTACCTGTAAATAAAATTATTGAACTTGTACCTTCTACAATAGAACATATCTTTCTTGTCCTGGCCTTGGCTTTCCATTTAGATCTGCAAAGCAGTGGAGGTGGCAATCATAGGCCCAAAACTTACTCCGCCTTTCATGTCCATGGACCTCATCATTCCAATAGCGAAACAGTTGCTTTAATTTAATGATTTTATTGGCCCGTCCCGTTTATTTTTTGTAAAAAAAT